ATCTTCTTCTCTCATTGTGGAAACACCCCCGCCCCCCTAGTTTGGGTGATGGTGGAGGGCTGAAGAGGGCAGGCAACTCTTCTCCTTTGTGCAGTGAGACTTGCCAAACGCTTCAACCAGGCTGAGGCACTGAGCACCCCAAAAGCAGAGTTCCCAACCTCCCCGAACCACAGCCATGGGGGTGCGGGTCCCGTGCTGCTGTGGCCCAGCTGGCCGTGCCAGTGGGCAGTGTCGTGGAGGGGGACAGAGGCCTGGGGGCATGCTCCCACTGCGGGGGGAGCCAGGTGCCACTGTTTGCTCCTGAGGTCCTGAGGCTCCTTAGCGCCCTGGGGCCCTTCAAAATGGAGAGAAAGGTGGAGAAGGTCTTTTCATAAGAGGTCCAGGTGAATCCTGATTTCAGGGGGATGCAGATGCCCCACCACCCACCGGAGCAGGTTGCGTTGCAGGGTGCCTGGGTCTCCGGTTCCTCACCCAGCCTGGTTTCTCCCTGGCAGGAGAGCCAGAAGCAGTACGAGCTGGAGTACCAGCGCAGAGCCGCCAACCTGGATAAGTGCATGGCAGAGCTGTGGAGAATGGAGAGGGCTCGCGATAAAAACGTCCGGGAGATGAAGGTGAGCAGCGATGGCAGGAAGGGGAGTTGGAAAAAGAACTGGATGATTTATATGGAGCCAGGACTTATTTCTGAACAACCTTGTCCTTCCTTAAAAGCCAGGGGATTTTCCTCAGTGTTCAAAAGGCAGGAGGCTTGTCTGGAAAGGAGGAAACTCCTTTCCTACAGGGTGCTTTTGACCTGTGGTGCCCACTCCTGCCAAGCCCTTGCTTCACTTAGCACTCAGTGTGCAAGGCCTTGGTCCCTGGCACTCTGCTCTACCTCCTTTGTGCTGCTCCAGCACCACGAGAGGACTGGGAAGCTGGTGATGACTCAATCACCCGTTTCACCCTTCCCCTGCCGTGTGTGAGTCCGCTCTGATGGAATTACACTGATCCCTTCCTCCCCCTTTACCCCGTGGCCCAGGAGAACGTGATGCGACTGCGCTCGGAGATGCAGGCGTTCGTCTCTGAGAGCCAGAGGGAAGCTGAGCTGGAGGAGAAACGCCGCTACCGTTTCCTGGCTGAGAAGCACCAGATGCTCTACAACACTCTCCTCCAGTTTTACAGCCGGGTACGGCCCTGGCGTGCCAGGGAGCAGGTGGCATGGCTGGAGAGGGGGCACGCAGGCAGGAGAGAGTCGGGGCTGAGCCACCCCTTGGCTGAAGGCAGCATCTGTGCATGGACTGGGCAGGGAATGTTTTTGTCTTGCTGAGGGGTCCAGGCTGACTGTGCTAGGCTGGGAGACTGTGGGCGGGGGTGAGGATGGTGCTGACATGGGGTTTGTTGGGTGTGGGAGCCATGGGAGAGGGAAGGGCGATGTTATGGCAGGGTCATTGGGACCACAAGGTCTCTGCTGGAGGGTGCCATCCCAGAAATTCACCCCTGCAGGGCTCTGTTTAGTGGGAAGACCTGGTCCCTAATCGAATGCACGTGGCAGCCCTCGACTCCTTCCATAGCCATTCCGCCCTGCCCGTCACCATCTCTCCTCTCCGTCCCCAGGCCCGGGGTGTGATCCAGACCAAGGTGCCCGCGTCAGCCCCAGCCCCGCCCCCGCCCCCAGCCACTCGCAGGGGCTTCTCGCAGCCTCCCATGGCCAGGGGTATCCGTCGGGCCGGCTCACCCCCACCCACCTCGACATGGTGAGGAGCCCTCAGCCAACCTTGGCGGTGGCGAGGCTGTGGCTGGCCCCTTCCGGCTGCAGGGGGGGGTGGCCGACTGTGTCCTTGGTGCCTTGTCCCGCTTTCACGGCCTTTCCTGGCCAAGGTGAAGGGCAGCATGTGTACAGGCTGCAGTGTGGGAATGTGCTGGATTCTAGTTTTCTGGGAGGGATGGGGTATCTCTCAGAGCATCCTCTGCTTGACGCAGCCCCTGTGGATTCAGCCTCCTTTCCTTCCAACAGCCCCAGAGACCCCTTGGGGACTTTGCTTCTCCCATGACTGGGAGTAGATCCAGCGTCTTCTCTGCCGAGCCTCCAGAAATGCGACTGTCTCCTCACACAGAGCCCCCCAGGTGGCCACTGCGGAGGACGCCATCAGCCAGTATGACCCAGAAGCAATGCTTTGGGGAGACGGAGCGGTTGGAACAGGGTTGGGTTTGGGGAGGGGACCGCCTCTCCACGAGGCCGCTGGTCCTCAGCCACGTTCCTGGACATGGTGAGAGGATGGTGCTGGGGAGGACAAGGTTGGATGAAGCAGGGGGTGAGCACAACCTTCAGAGCAGGATCCATCCAGGGCAAGGCCAGGTTTCCTTTGGGGGGGACCCAAAGGTGTGCAATTTTCAAGGCTCCTTGAACAATGAAGGCTGGTTCTTAGTGGGGTTTTCGTTTTGGTAATGCACCTTCCCTTACATTATCACATTAATTACCCTGCCCTACAAAGCCCAGCCAGTTACCTCATGTCTCACCTGTTTTTCCTTCCTGAAAAAAGTCACCTTGAAGTGGTTAAAAAATACATATAAAAGGGGGCAGGGAAGAGGAAAATGACCCAAACTCTCTGTGGCTTTAGCAGGGTTGGGAAGAGAGACACCAGCCAGGTATTTAGCAGGCAGCGCCTGTGCCGTAGGCATCTGGCCAAAGAGAACATAGTGCAAAGCAAGAGGTTTCAGCTTGAGTTGATTTTCTGCTGCAAGATGAATGTTTTACCCTTTCCCATGCTATACCCTGCTCTCTGCCTGCAGAGGAAGGGCTATCTATGCCTCCAGGGTAATTACTTGGCTGGGGAAACGCTGGCCCCTTTGAGTGGGGGGGCAGGAGGGTGCTGGTCTCCAGCCAGACCCCTCTGATGCCTCCCTGCAGGTTTGCTCCCTACCGGCCGCGTCTCCCGTTCAGGTTCCTTCGGTGAGGCCGGCAGTGGTGGTGAAAGCAGGAGGAGGAGGAGCGGCACGACGAGGGTGCAGGCTATTGTGCCCCACGCGACGGGCGCCAACTGGACCCTGCTACGGTTTGATCCTGGGGATGTTATCACCGTGCTGATGCCAGATGCACAGAACGGCTGGCTGTATGGCAAGCTGGAGGGCTCATCCACGTAGGTTGGCGCTGTAAATCGGCCTGGCAGGCTGATGCAGCCTTCTCAGGGCTGGAGCTGGAAGGCTTAAGCCCAAAATTATCTCCCTCCGCCACCTCCCAGCATGGCCTGGGCACTGTGTCTCACCCAGCATCTGGGTGGGACATCGCCACGTCCTTGGTCAGGGGCTGTGCCTAGCACAGGGGTCTCCAAGGAGGTGTGGTGGGGCAGGGGGAGCGTGGATGAGCTGCCTGAGAAAGCTCCAGGGGCCGTGGGGGAAGAGCCAGGGATGCAGTGACCCTGTCCCAGCTTGCGTGACTGAGGGACTCCTGCCGTGGGGTGCAGCTCAGGGCTGTGAGCGGCTGGAGTTACCCAAGAGCCCCTGCGTTGCTCAGCTCGCTCCGCAGCTCAGCACTGTGCTCTGCAGGGAAGCTCATGCTCAGACGTGAGATGAGCAAAAGCAGTACCTTCCTTCTTGGGGGGCTTTCTGGGGTGGGGCTGCGTTGCCCTGGGGAGAAGGGATTTCCACAGCTTCCTTGTGTGCTGGCCTTGGTGACCATGCTCAGTCAGAGCATCTCTACCTGATTGCACCAGTGTTGCTTTCAGTAGCAGGAAATTTGCACAGCCTCCGAGATCAGTGGGTCCTTCTCTGGGCTCAAGGACTGTCTCACAACAACCCTGTGCCCTACCTCGGGGTGACAGACGTGCAGAAACCCTGTCACATGTGGTAGGGGCTTCGTTGATGCGTGGGGTGGTTATAGATCAGGAGCGCTGGGCAGCTGGATCTGAAGAACTACCAACCATGCTTGCCTGGACCTCATTTGTCTCTGTTTCCATGCCCTAGATGCGGCTGGTTCCCCGAAGCTTATGTCAAGCCTCTGGAGGATGCGAGGGAGATGGAGGAGCCAGCTTCCAGGTAACAGGAGAGCAACTGGCCAGGCAGGAGCTGGAGCAGCTCCTGGTAGATCACTAATGCCAGCGGGGTACCTGTTTGGAGTGTGCTCCATGGAGAGCTGCAGTGCTCCAGTCTCACGGGGTTACCCCAGGTGGCTCCCCCAGCACGGGCAAGGTCTTCTCAAAGGCACATGTGACTGGGCCAGTCCAAGCCATGCATATTTTCTCCAGAGACATCCCATAGTTTCATGTTGTGGCCAGCACCTGTGCTGCTCCCTGCTCTTTGCGACCATCCCCCCATCTTCTCCTCTTGCCCAGGTCCTTCCCGCTGCGAAGCAGTCACAGTATGGATGACATCCTGGACCGTCCCAGCACTCCTTCCTCTAGCAACTACTTGCCTGCTGCTGCCCAGCCCAGTTTGCCGAATCCACCTCCCCTCTCGGTGGGCACCGGCAGTCACCAGAGTGGGGTGGGCACCCCCGTCAGTTCTGGTTCCAAGGTGAGTGCAGGATTGTCTGGTGTGTGTGGTGGGGGTGGGCCACATCTGACTTTCATCCTCCTTTTCTGCACTGGCCTGTTGAGAGAGAAATACCTTCCAAATGTTGGTGTGTGACCTCCTCCCTTCCTGAGCTAAGGGGTCTTCATAGCACTGGCCCCTCTCCCCCTGTCTGTTCGCATGGCCCCTGCCAGTCAGCCTGGTGTGCACAGTTCCCCAGTGCCTGGCTTTGCTACCCCAAGGGACCGCTTTTCTGCCCCTGCCCTCCTCATTCCTCTCTCTTTTTGCTCACCAGGGTCTCTTCAGTTCAGTCCTTTTCTCCATGACCTCCCAGCCTGATTTCTGGTGGCTCCGGGGCAGCTCCTCTTTCTGCTAATAGTAGGACCATGGAGTGATCAGGCTGGGCGTGGGTGACCAGCTAACAGAGATGCCATCCTCCTCCTCCTCCCTTCAGGGGATGGAGAGGAGTCTTGTAGGGCAAATTCAAGCAAGGGTTGGCTCAAAGGCACAGCTGGGGTAGGGGAAAAGCTAGGGGAACAGCCATTCTGGGGAGCCCCAGAATGATGTGTGTCCAACCCATGCCTTATGGCTCGTAGGAGGCTGGGAAAGCTCATCTCTGGTTGCTGCTTCCAGGCCAACGCGAGGTTGCAAGCAACCGGAGGGCTCAAAGGGCTGAAAAATGGAACACTTAATTACTCCTTTTTCCCTTTGTGTCCTGCTCTCTGGTTTCAGGGAGCCTCAGGCTGCACACAGGGGAACAGGCTCTGCAGCCTATCCTCCGCTCTGGGTCACTGGTTTCCATCCGGTCCCCGGTCTAAGGTGTTGGGATAGACTTGGGATTGAGCAATGAAGCATGTGGAACATGTTTTAGAGTAGAGAAATTGAGCCTCATTAGAAGTTTGGAAAGACTCAGTCTTGTTCCAAACTCCTGCCTAAGACACCCTCCAGTTGAGCAAGCAGCAGATGGGTGCGTGTTCGGCTTCCCAGCTGGAACACAGAGACCCACACGTGGCTCCTTGTCTGCCAGCAGCTACAGAAACCAGTGAACTTTCAGCAGGCCAGTTGTCACCAGTCCTTCATCATCTACTGGCCAGGAATGAGGGCCACACGGCCGAGGTCCATCTTTCCCCATTGGGCAGGGCCAAACTTAGGCAGTATGTGGTGTGGTGTAGGGTGCAGCACTACGGCTCTTGTGTTCCCTGCGGGTGCAGGAGGGATGTGAAGACACTGATGATAAACTCTTTGCCAGGGTGTGTGGGCAAGGTGAGGGGGGCATCTCTGGCTGTGCTGGCAGGGTGACACGTAGCTCAGACTGTCACTGTTTGCTGTGCTCTTCAGACACGACACTTGGAGGATCTGAGGCATCTCCCTTCTTCCCCAGGACCAAGGGAGGTGTCCTGGGGGAATAGGGAACCTGTGGTGTAGGGACAACCTCCACCACAGAAATCAGGGTGTTATCTATAGCAGTGGATTTGTGGGATTATGCAAAGTTTGAATGAATGAGGAGTCAGAGCCCTTAACACTTAAGTGTTTTGAGAAATCTTCCTCTCTGTGTGCGGTGTTTCCTGTCCCACTTCTGTGTCACCACCCGCCTGGATTGCTCACTGCTGCCTTTCCTTTTCACTGCAGAAATCAGGAGTATTTGACCAGCCCCCTGAACTCTTCCCACGGTGAGTGAGGCATGGAGCTGCGCTCTGGAATCATCAGACAGGCGGGCATTGGTACCATACTATTATTGTTTAATCTTTTGGATTATCAAACATGGGAGGAACAGGGAAGTGTCTGGAGGAAAGCGATGCACAACCCCTCTTTCCAGGACGGGAGGTGGGCCCTCAAAGCTGGGCTATTCTGGCTGGCTGGGAAGGCTCTCTCCTACCTGTGGTGATACGAGGTAGGACCCAAGCACCCTGAGCAGATGGCCAAACCTGCATGCTCCTTCTAATCCGTCTTGGAAGAGTGACAACAGCAGCTTGCAGCCCGAGCATGAGGCTATGCAGTTCGTGCAGCTCAGTCTGCTTGAAAAGGGCTGAGGTGTAAGGGACATGGCTTTTAGCTTTGATGAGTCAGCTCAGTGGAGATGGGACTTGCCATAAATCCCTGCTTTCCTTCCCCCCACAGCTGGGTTGGTGTCTCCATGTTCCTGGCATGGTGCTGTGGCCTCTTTCTGCTCCCTGGCTCCTTGCTTGGAGTGTCAGGGGCCACAAGTGTAGAGTGCTGCTGCAAGGGACAGCGTTATGCTGTATCTCTTCTTCATCCTATGGAAGGGGGAATCATAGAATCATGGAGTGG